TATATCTTACTTGTGGACCATTTGTAACAGTACGATTAGTATTCGGTTGATTAGCGACAAAATGACTATTGAGTCTAGGTTGAGGTTTGTATAAGGAACTCTGGAGGTTCTGGTTACCCCCAGTACTAAAGTAAATGAAATTTTCTTCTTCTGTGCAAAATAGATATATACCCGATTCATCACTGCTAACGTTGCAGACTAACAGAAAAATGTCACTTGCTGATAGCTGATCACCTCAGTAGACGTCCAAGCGTGATGGATACTCGTGAAATAGAGTATATGTGACAAGTTGCTCTTGCATTTTTTTTGTGATTGCCTGATTCCATAATATTTTCAATTAGTTATAATTAACATGCCGATTTTCCTTAATCCGGTTTAAGGCTTTTAAGGTATTGGAATAGCACGCGCTACTTCCAGTTCTGGGTTTTTGAGCCACAGATTCCGTTTTGTACAGTTTAATATTTTGAATTGTATACCTCGACTTGATAATACTGTCAGCGATTTGGGAAGCATTTTGGCCTGTTAAATGCAAGTTAATGATCACTTGTCTTTTTTCGTCAGAAACAGCTTTACCACGAGCCATTTTTAATTGTTATCAGCTTCTTAGCGACGTAAAATATCACTTGGTTTAAAAAAGTCTAAGTACCTTTATTTTATCGAAGCGAGAAGACAATTTCGAAATAAAAACGCTTTAAAAATAGTCGCGTCGGTTTTGTTGTCTTTCCATAAACATTTAAAGAAACCAAAAATATATTTGAAATAAAATTTTAATTAGCCCTCAAATAAATTCACAGATATCATGTTTTGGGACGTTGGGCTAAGACTCAATAGTACAATGATTTTCGAATCCCGCTTCAAGCAATGGGTATAGTCGCCGCCGTTGCGCTAGTGCGATTGTGTGTTCCCGTGGTATCGAGCTTCCTCATCGTCATTCCGATAGCCACCAGATTTGTTCAGCGCGAAGCTAGGCGTCATATTAATTTGTTTGGATAAGTGTATTTGAGAGTATCTGATATCAAGATGGCGGAAAGTGAGAAGTCGTCTGAAAATTCGTCTCTGAAAAAGAATTAAAAAAAGAACGTCATACTGTGCCTACACTGTAAAAAAAAGTTGTGAACGTAGTGAAGTGCAAAAAGTGTAATAACTCGTTTCATCCTGCTTGTCTGGAGTTGGCAGGCGAGTTGAAAAATACCGATTGTTTGCACGAATCAAGCAAGGTTAGAAGAGAGAGTGTAAACATGCTGCTCTATGAAGATTCAACGGAGTTGGATCTTCTAAGAACGCTAGTGAAAGAACTGCAAAGCAAAAATCGAATCGCGGAAGAAAACAGTCAACTTTTAAGAGAAAAGGTGCATTTCCTTGAAGATAAGAGTTGATTATCTAAATAAAAAGGTCTAACAATACGAAAATACCAAACATCCATAGGATTCAGTGACATCTAGCGAGGAATATAATGCGGTTGCAAACAACTAAATCGTAAGTCAGGGAAATCATAGTGCTGAACCAGTTGACGATAGTGGCGCACTGCCTGCGGCCAACTCCCCTGTCATCGTGAATTCAGCGCCCATCGCTACTCGGACTGAGAAAGATGAAAACAAATGGGTAGAGGTTAGAAACCGAAATAAAAATAAAATCTCGGTCAGAAACAGACCTGTTGATAAATCCAGTCGACCTGAACCTTTGAGAGGCTCCAATGTAAATATATGCAGCCTTAAACCAGCATCCAGAGTATCATCTTTGTTTTTATCTGGCCTGACACCAGAAGTTACCAGCGAAAGCGTGAAAAATTTTCTGAAAGAAAACAACTTTAATGAATACACCTGCGAAAAAATGAAAACCAAGAATTAAAAGTACTGCAGCTCATTGCGACTTACTGTTCCTCATGATGACATTGATAAATATTTTTGTCCGGATCTGTGGCCAAGAGGCATCCTAATAAACCATTTTCGGAACCTGCAGCGCCAAAATATGGTAAAGGAAAACCTAAACAGCAGGAAGTAAAGATTCTGCATATAAATGTGAGATCCCTAAGAAGAAAAATAGATGCATTGGAAGCTTTCTTGCTGATGAGGACATTGATGTACTGTGCCTGACAGAACATTTGTTGACCAAAGAAGAAATGGAAGTTGTGCATTTGCAGGGATACATGATGAGAGGGTCTTCTGAACGGAAGCACTTCACAGGTGGAGGAACTGCAATTTTTACCAAAAATAAATTTAAATCATGTGTTATAAGTATTAATCCTGCCTTTTATATAGAGAAGTGTATTGAGTACTGTGTGGTTTATTGTCAAAGTCTGAATGCTTATTTCTTAACTATTTACAGATCTCCTTCAGGGAATTTTGATACCTTCTTGGAATCAATGGAGGGAATATTAACACAATTAAGTACGAACGGGCAAATTATACTTGCTGGGGATTTCAATGTAAGTTTCAACACATTAGATGTTAATACAAGTAAATTGTGTGACCTTCTCGCTAGCTTTGGCTTAGAAAGAACAATCTTTGAACCAACTCGAGGGGACTCCTGTCTTGACAATGTTTTCCTTAGTAGTGCGATGGAGCTGTGTGGCTCTCAGGTATGTGATATTGGAATATCAGATCATAAAGGTCAGCTGGTTAAATTCCTTGGTTGTGAAACAACAGGTTTTACTCAAAATAAAAAAATGTATAGACCAGTAACACAAAGAGGTTTCTTTATGTTACATAGTAGGTTGTCGGAGATATCTTGGGATTTCATTACTGTTGATAGTACCAGGGGTGAACAAAAGTTTAGCCACTTCATGGACATTCTTCAAGAAGCCTATACATACTCTTTTCCAAAGAAAACTTATGTGGTAAGATCCGACCAGGGCAATAATATTTCCTGGTTTAATACCGAACTAAGGGCAATGAGGGAACATTTGAGGTTTTTGAGAGAGCTGAAAGGGCAGTATGGTTTTGTGAGTGACCAGTGTTATAAAAACTACAAAAATCTATATAGAAATAAAATAAGAAAAGCTAAGATGCTGCTAATGACAACCTTGTAAAGAGCTCAAGTAATCCTGCTAAAACCGTGTGGGATATCATTAACAAAAAAAGAGGTAAGAGTAATAAGTGCCCTGGGAGCAGTGACCTGTCACCTGATGACTTTAATAATTTTTTTTGTAACATAGCAGGTAATATAGTAAATCACATCCCTGATGTACATTTAGATCCTGTAAATAATATTGATTTCCTGGTACCGCCAGCTCTGTTTTCTTTTTCTGAACTCACATTTAACGAGGTTCGCCATGTAATAGATAATCTCAAAAATAAAAACAGTAAAGATATTTTTGGTTTCAATTTAAAAATTGTAAAATGTATAAAGAACATAATTTTGATCCCTCTAACACGACTGATTAATATTTGTTTTAGAGAAAATATTTTTCCAACTGTTCTAAAGAGAGCTAGTGTCACACCTATTTTTAAGAACGGCAATCTTGATTCACCAGAGAACTACAGACCTATATCCCTTCTTCCAGTTATCTCTAAGATCTTTGAAAAATGTATGGCTTTGAGACTGGTAACCTTTTTTGAGGCAAATGAATTGTTTTCACAATATCAGTTTGGTTTTCGCCAGGATAAGAGCACCGTTATGGGTGTACTTAACCTGCTTTCTTCTATAATTGATGCTTTCCATGGAGGAGGGTATAACACGGTTCTTTTCTGCGATTTTAGTAAGGCATTTGATTGTGTGAGCCATGACATCCTTTTAAAAAAGCTCCATGCTTACAACTTTAGTTACGATTCCGATAAACTAATTGAGCCTACCTTTGTAATAGAACTCAGGTGGTGAGATGTGATGGGTGACATCAGCGGAGCGAAGTGTTAATATTGGCGTCCCTCAGGGCTCCATCTTGGGCCCAATTCTTTTTTTAATTTACATGAATGATTTACCTCTCAATGACAATGTGGCAAACTTTACTCTCTTCGCGGATGATACAACCGTCTCTCACACCGCTAACAGTTTTGAGCGCTCAATGGCACAGTCTCTGGCTGCGCAGGATGAGGCTGAGCTGTGGCTTTGCTCCAATAAGCTGTTGCTAAATAAAGATAAGACAAAGAGAATGGTGTTCTCCATGCGAAGCCTGCCTGGAGACAATGATTTGGTTGGTGAAGTCAAGTTTCTGGGGGTTACTTTGGATCCAAGATTGCAATGGGGCCTTCACATTGATAGTGTTGCTGGAAAGGCCACCAAAGGTATATATGTGTCACGGAGTCTGTCTTCTTGTGTTTCTGTAGCCATATTGAGAATGGCTTACTTTGACATTTGCCATTCACATATATCCTACGCCATTCTGACTTGGGGGCATTCTTCAGGGGACCATAGCCTTGCAAAGAAGAGCAGTTAGGGTTGTGAGCCGTTTGGGCTACAGGGACGATTGCAGAGATACCTTTGTCAAGTTGGGAATCCTTATTGTGTCTTGTTTATATATTTTTGAAAATCTACTATTCGTTAAAAGAAACTCTAACTATGTAACTCATGGGAACGTCCATGAGCACAATACTAGGCATAAGAACAATCTAGTACCTCCTTATTGGTGACTGAGAAGGTGTCAAGATGGACCTGGTTATTGGGCGGTCAAATTTTTTAATGTACTTCCAGACGGTTTAAAATCGCTTCCGTTTAAAGATTTTAAAGTTCAAATCAAGAAAATTCTTAATCCTATCTTAATAACTCATCTTACACGTTTGAAGAGTTTTTAAGACATAAATTTTAACTATAAATCTTAATATGCTATGTTAGCGTTATATCTTTATGAGTGCTGGTGTACCTGTTTGTAATTTTTTATGATTATTAGCACTCCCTTTGTTTTAATTCTGATGCAATTCTCATTTGATCTACTGACGTATGTAAACATATTTTATGTATTGTGACATGAATAAAGAACTTCAATTTCAATTTGAAACCTTCTTCACTGATACAGGGCTCGTACATGACAAGGAAACCGATTTTAAACAAGTGAATTTTATTTACAGAGAGTACGGAGCTCGTAAAATACTCGGATTGCCACCATGAAGGACTGGAATAGATACTCGCTGGGAGCATTTTTATTTCATCACTGAGATTGTAAAAGATCCAGTATGTTGATGTCAAGCCGCAGCAACTCTATTTCCTTCTCATGTAATATTCAGGTAGTAATTAAGTAGCAAGAATTGGGGGTGGGGAGTTACAGTGGGTGTGATTGAAATGTTTACAGCAACGAAGATTCTGTCAATACATGTGGTTTTCTTGGCCAGGCAAGCATGGGCGATTATCGACATGTAAGCCACAGGAGTTTCAGATATTACATCAACCATATACCTATCGACCACTGTCTTTAGGGCACAGAATTGACACCTCTCGGGCTGTTGCCACAGGAGATTTCCTTTTCCGTCGTTGAAAAAATTTTAAAATATGTAATCTTGCGAATAATGGTAATGCAACTGAAAGGGGTGATGTTCCCTTGTAGGATCGATGTCATGCTTAAACACAATACACTCTTCATTAAAAAAATGGCGTTAAGTAGGTTGACTCTACGCTTGCTACGTAACGCATCCATCAGTTCGTTCAAAATTATCTTCGGCATAAGTTAGTGCCTATCAGAAAAAAATCAACTGAAAACATGTATAAAATGTTAATTACATAGATCAAATCAGTCAAATAGGCCTATACAATCATTTATTTCCAACAAGGACGGTCTCACTATCAAATACACATATCCAAACAAATTAATATTATGACGCCTAGCTTCGCGCTGAGCTAATCTGGTCGCTATCGGAATGACGATGGGTAAGCTCGATACCACCGGAACACACAATCGGCGAGACTAGCACAGCGGCGGCGAGTATACCCAATTAGGGTGGAGTGATCTTATTGGTGACGAATTTTTTTTGTCGATTTTTAAAAAGTAATAATTTTAGAATGTTACCTTTTCAGATAACTTAATGACTTGCAAAATATGAAGTTTTTTGTTTACGTTTTGAGGTACCCCGAGGTTCCACTTTTTTGGATTTAGTTTTTTTTCATGTAATAAAGATCATAATATTTGTAAGAAACATAATCACCTGTAAAATTATAGGTTTTCAAGTTATCGTTCTGAGGTGTCGCAGGAATTTGTTTTAATTTTTGATTTAATTAATGAGATTAATAAAATGAGTAAAAGTTATGACTTTTCAGCAGTACACCAGTTATAACAAAATCTTTATCTATTTCACACAAAAATACGGTTATATTCAACAAACATGTGGTTAAAAATAAAGTATTTGTATAAGTATAGTTGAAAAACGTATTGAAAAACTTTTATTACGCTAAAAAGAATAAGCGGCCTCGGTTTTCAAAGAGGACATGATCTTGCGAGATCCCAATTTTCCCCTAATATAACCATTGCGAGCTTCTGCCTCAGTCACCTGTTGGATACAACGTTCGACAGTAAGCGGTGGCTTGGTGATGTGGAATGTTTGCTGGTCCATCCTATGTTATCTGTAGCGTCAAAATTGAAAGCTGTAACACCAAACACACGCCTTTTTAATCCTTTTTGCTGACTCCTCTAGATTTTTTATTTGGGATCTTATACATCTGAATATACAAATGCCAACCAACTGCGCCAGGAAATTGATGAGGCAAAAATAAAAATTATGTAAAACGCAAATTCATTTCAAATAATAAATGACAATTTTATTAAAAGGTGTCGCTTGTGTATAGAAAATAATGGAGGCCATTTCGAACATGTTCTTTAAAAGTTAGTTAAAATAAATTATATTCCACATTTGTCGGTAAATCGCCATAAAGAGCGGCTTAGCACAATAGGTTCTCTACTTATAGGTGGTAACGATTCTATTGCGTTTCTTACGTTTATCGCATCACAACAACGAATGTGACATGATACACTCATCGTAGCAAGCTGAAATATCCAGGGTTTATTCTATATGGATTGAGATAGTTTTTAAAATAAAATGAATAATGAAATAAAACCTCAATTATTTTACCGCGCTTCAAAGTTGAGGGATGGAAGATATTCTCCACAAATAAAATGAATTTTAGGTTTTTTGCGTTGATTTCTAATTAGCTAAACCAACCATTTAGCTCATATCAAAAAAATCATAGCCGTAAACAATGATTTAGTTGTAATTGCGATGGAAAGTTCATTATTCCATTTTTTTCGAAATTTCACAAAACTGCAAATATCTCCTGAATTTCGGATCACACATATAGGGGTTCATTCATTGACGTCTTACCCATATAGACGCTGTAGGTCATTCATAAGTCCGCCGCATGTTAAGTTCGCGAACCTCAGTGGCGGGAAATACCAACTTTCATTCATAATTTTATCAAATTGGCCCCAGGCTTGGAACAGCACAAGGCTCAAGGTCAACTACGGAATTCCCACCATAGGCATATCACAATGTACGTCATGAAGGGCTATAAAAGACAATAAATTTCTCAGTATATTGGAGGTACAAAAAACGTCTTTCCTGCAGGTATACTATTATTAAGGTGACCATACGTCCCACTTTCGGACTTTGTCCTACTGTTCCTGACAAAAGCCTGGCGACATAAAAATGTCCCTCTTTTCGGTCGTGGTGTCTCCAACAAAAAGCATGCAACCCCCCTTCCCTCCCCCCCGCTCTTCATACATCTATAATCATCGGCCATGAATGCAAAAAATGAAGTGTGTTTACACATTGTGCTTTCATTTTATGATTGTAAACAAAAATAGCAAAATGTGTGTCTTTTGTGGTAGGTACAAGACCCCAATATGGAAGAAATAAAACACAGTAAATACCTACTTAAAAAAATGTTTATTTGATGGTTTACAAAGTATTTTATATGGAGATCAATCAATGCAAAATAAAATGTTCTTGACATTCTTAATAGGAAATGTGTCAACAAAAAATATACCTAACAATTGTAAATATGGGATATCACACCAGCACAAGTCATGTTAACAATAAGCAGTTGACAATGAACATTGCACGGATTTGAAAATGTGCAAAATATCAAAATGTTTAAGCTGACTCGTATAAAAACGTCAAACAATTTTTTAGTAACTCTGCCTTTTCCGCAGTAGCTAATCCAGCCAAAAAAAAAGTAGCCAACAGGAATTTTCCAGGATCCATTAAGACATACCAACATAAATACAAGTACATCCTTTGCTTCAGGTTGCATATCTGAATCAATATTTGCCCCAATATCAACATACCTAGTGAATTTGGTTCCTGTCCACTCAATTTGTTGTCGAATAGACATTTCATCTAAAACCAAATTGCACAGAACATGTGAACCCTTTGCATCTGCTTGTCGCTTTAGAATTTTTAGAGTTTCCAAGGCTTTCTGTGTGAACCCAGGAGAACCATTAACTGATTTATACCACTTACCGATTGTACTTAAATCAGGTAAAGATTTATTAAATGTGTTTCTAACAAAAGTATACGCCTCAGGTGAGTAAAACGCAAGGGTTACTGCAAAGCTTCTTAACACAGGATCATATTTTTGTGTTGATGGACCTTTCAACATCCTTTAAAATATTTTCAGGAAGTTTTAGGTTCTTTGGTTGTTACTTAACTGTCCTATTGTGGTTTTTGTTTGTTTTTCCCTTACCTTGATTTCACTTTCACGTGAAGCATTCATAATGAACTTTTGATTTAGCATATCAAGGAATTCCTTCTGTGTTTGGATTCTATTTCTGCAATATCGGATCAAACGTTGTTTGTTTTGTAGTATCTTCCTCTGTCTCAAAATAGTGTCTTTCATGAGACGAAAATTCCATTTTCTCTTCTCAGGTGTAGAAAAGTCGCCACTGGTTAAGTGTTCCACATACCTCTTCCTACAATAACAAGACCATCATTATGAATGTTGTCAATGATTAATTTTACAGATGACAAAGAGGTATCAGTGTTCAGTGTGTTTATGTATTTATACACTGATTTTCAAAAGCCCCCTCTCCTACGTATTGTTTTAATGGGCCAAATTAGCAAATAAGAATTTGGGCTAATGGAATCAATCTTCTTCTTTTTTAAAGATCTGTCTAAATGTGCAGTGAAACATGGAACATTCTGTCATTTCTACGCTAAAATGTAGTACCTATATGTCTCAAATTTCAACTTGCTTGCGAATACGGGAAGTCTCTGTGACAAGCACTGTGTATACTAAGGTGCATATACAGGGCACCACAGCAACTTTTGAGGTCTGATGTTTTAGAGTGTATGAGAGACTGGAAAACGAGAGACGCATATAACAAAAGCATCTAAGAAAGAGTGCACCAATCACCATGTTACCCAACAGTGACAGAAACAATGGTTGCAGAGCATTGTTGTAGCTTGCCATGCATTCTTTCTAACATAATGTGTTGTATGCTTCTCTTTCTTCCCTCTCTCTCATATACAGTGAGACTTCAGACATTGCTGACCTGCTCTGTAAACGAATATCATCTATAGACATTGAATGAAGGATTTATTTCTGAAAGTATGGTTTTGTACCGCTTTCTTTTCTTCTTTGCTTGAACAGATTCAGTAAACACATCTGATTCATAACCATTTTCTGAGGCAGTCACAGTTGCAGGTGAGGCACTCCAAGTTTTAGAAGAACTTGATGGCCAATCTTCCACATTAAAACTAAAAAATATAAAAGATATTTTATGCATAATCTTAAATATGTGACATCTTGCTTGACTTACAGTTGGCAGAAGGTCCAGGTTGAACAAACGTTTCATGTTGGAGCTGTATCCTACAATATCAAAAAAAATCCTGATAAACAGTTGAAGATACCAGTCATATATCAAAACAAAGATTCAAACAGATATTGAAAATAGCAATTTTAAATGGATGATAAACAGGGTGATTCAAAAGCAATATCAATATTTTTTGGAGGACAGAGCATAGGCTTAAAAGTGACAAAAAATCCTATGGCCACTTGTATAAAAATGTCCCATTGCCTAGATATTATAAATTTCTGCACCACTGATGGAACTGAATAAGGGCAAAGCATGAATACTTTTAAAATGACCCTTAATACTACACTGGATAGGATTACTAAAACACTAGATACACTTCTTCAGATTTTATCAGATACTTTCAAAAATGTAATTTTCGTTTTGTCTCTTCTAGTGGTCAAAATGTCCAATCAACCTCAAAGATTTTTTTTGATCTTGAAATTATGTACCACATGTGCTTGATCCTAAAAATATTGATATCATTTCTGGATCACCCTGTTTTATGATACAAATATAAAATATTTACAGTACATTTTTGTATTGATACTCTTAGCCCAGTAGAAGCAATTATAATCAGACAACTGACTGTTTTAATTGTGTTGAAATGCTGCCGGTCACATCTAGGGAGCTTGCAATACCTTTTCGCATCACAGAAACTTCTTTTGGGGAAATATCAATACTTGACGATGATGTACTAAAACAATAATATATTATATTGTCGCCAATTAAGTAAAAATTCTTATCTGTTTGTATAACAAGCTTTATATTCATAACAGACCAAGTGACAATATAACTGTCCCCTTAGGTCCTCTCTTCTACATTCTATACGTCAATGACATAATGCAGGATTTAAAGATGTATGCCAATGATACATCTTTTGTTATCAGTGAACACTCAGAGGCAAGAACTAAAATTGTTGCAATTGACCACTTAGAACAACTTCAGAACTGGTTCTCATCCAATAAACTACTGTTAACTTTAAAGAAAACACAACTAGTGCAATTCAGTAGAAACTTAGAAAGCAATAACTTTTCCATCTCTTTTAATTGAAACACTGTTGATGCTGTAAACACTGCCTCACTTTTAGGTCTTAGTATAGATTGCTGCCTCAATTGGAAAGGTCATATTGAAGATGTATGTGAATCTGTTGCCAAATTCAGTTATGTGATAGGAATATTGTCTGGGAGTCTTGGCAAGAGGGCTGCCTTAACAGCATATTTTGGATATGTGCATTCCAGGCTGTCATACGAAATTATTTTTTGGGGAAATTCAACAACTATCTAGAGAGCTCTTGTCCTTCAAAAGAAATGCATTAGGAACATCTTTAGAATGTGTTTCAATGACAGCTGAAAAACAAGTATTCAGAGAAAGGGGCATTTTGACTGTGGCTGGTATCTGGAATCGATAGTATTCATAAAAAAAAATCCATATCTTTTCCAGAATCCATACTTCCACCACTACAGTACTAGAAATAGATCTAATCTCATATCAAACACATTGACCATGACTCTACTCCAGAGGAATGTTGAATTCTCGATAACCCAAATTTGGAATAAGATACCCCTCAACAATTTCAAAAAAATGTTGCATACTATCCTCTGTGACAAGGCCTATTATCAGGTCCAAGAATTTTTGGAGGACAGTGATTTTAATGTCGTCTCATATCTGTGATATTTACTTTATTTTACGCTTATTTGTATTGTATATTTGTATTTTAGTGTGTATTTGTATTATTTTTGTCAAGTTTTACATCACCACTCTGATTACATGCAACAAATAAAGTTTATCTATCTATAGGCCCAGGCCCAGAACCACAGCTTGTTCAGAGTACCCAAATGCTCAAAAATCAACCAAAATTCAGAAATGTCTGAATAATTTTTGCCCTGATCTCGCTTTGACCTGGGGGCTCAAGCCACATTGGACTCAGGTCCCGAACTTCCTGTGGGTCCATCTACATAGCGTAAGGTGGCCTTGGGCAAAATAATCTAAAAAACATTTTGTGAGTGTATAAAATTATTACCATTGAAAGGAAACAACTGGCCAAATGAACTTTGAAACAGCACCAGGTTTTAGCCAAGTTCTTCCACTAGCATCAGTAGTGAAATCTTGTTGCAAAAACTGCTTGGAGCATATTCTAACCGTCTTTGTGGGATTGAGATTCTTGCTCGGTAAGTTCCAAGAAAAACATCCATTTCTCTCTCTGCTTTTCATTTGCAGGTAGTCTGGAATGAAAATTAGAAATTCAAGTAAGATGCATTGTACGAACATTTGTGATAAACGATATATTTATACAAGCTCTTGGGTGATTTATGGGCACTCATAAAAACAGCATTTTTTCCTTACATTTAAGAATGTTATGAAAACCTTTCTAAATACTGTTTTACATGTAAAAAAATATAAAATACGGAGTGGATCCGGAAAATGACGCGCTCCACGCCAATGAGTAGAATCGTAAACCTAACCTTACCTGTGAAAAGATATCCCTTCACTGCCTGCTTCCCCAGCGTCAACCTTACACAAAAAACACTTTTGTCTCACCATAATTTAATAAAAGTCTAAAAAACACAAGAAAATCAAGCGTATTGCACGAGGATAAAAGCGATTTTCACATAAAATAATAATGGCGGCCAAAACACGGAACACGCATAGATTCATAGGCGATGACTCACTCTTACTACAAGGCTACTACAAACAAGTGCAGCGTTGCCGTATATAAACGTTCATCACAAATATGTAGAACATACTCTGGTTTGTATTACACCTCGATTTGTATTAAAATTCGCGTTTTCTTCACTTGTTCTATAAATTATTTTAGGTATATACGAATATACATAAATTTCTTATAGAACAAACTTTCTGCAACAGAAATAGGTCATTTGGCTAGTTGTGGATACCATGGTGCCAGGACCGTGGGGTCAACTTATTTGGCAACATCCTGCATGCTCTTGTAAGCCACCTACAGTATATTCAGATAAGAGATAGACCGGATGTAAACAAAAGATTCGGGTGATTTTCACGCTAACGCCGCCGTCTCGACGTAAAACAGGAGCCCTCATTGGTCAATTCGCAATTAAATGCCTATGCGGAGCGGCAGAGCAGTCGTATCAAGGCAGAGTCACATTCAGGTTCAGACGTGTTACGTATGTCGTGTGCATCATTGCAATTTGATATTTCTTTGGACGTTTTCGTTTGTTATCTTATTAAGTTGTTGAGTTTGTCGTTGTTATTGTTATACCTTGTTATTGATTGTTATTGTTATCAACTGCTTGCGCAAAATGTCCAGTAGTACAGATACTGCCGATGAAGTTGTAAACTCCTGTAGTCCACCTAGGAAACGCTCTAAAAAAAGACACCTGAGTGCAGAAATGAAAGAGGTCATTTTGAATATATATAAGATCGAGCGCGAGGAGAACGAGGCATCAACCATCAAAGAAATTGTTGTGAAGGTTTCTCACAAAGTTGGGGTGTGTCGCGCATCAGTGTTTAATGTGTTAAGACAATACAAAAAAAATCACACCTTGTCTGAGCCAATGACCAGTAAATATCGCAAAAGTATTGTTAAATCATTGGATGAAGCTGATAAGCATGCGATTAGGAGGAAAGTGCATGAATTCTTCTTTAGGAATGAAATACCTACTATAGATAAAGTACTGCAGGAAGTAAATGGAGATACAACGCTGCCAAATTTCAAACGATCAACTTTCCATGCGTTACTGAAGCATTTAAATTTCAAATGGAAAAAACGGGGTCGTAATAGTTTACTACTGGATAGAGAAGAAATTGTGCTATGGAGGAGGGATTATTTAACAAAAATTGGGAAATATAGAAATCGAAACAGGAAGATTTATTACCTTGATGAAACGTGGGTAAACGCAGGACACACTACAAGTAAAGTATGGGTTGATGATTCTGTAACTTCATCCAGGAGGGCCTTTCTAGATGGACTGTCCACCGGATTAAAAAATCCAGCAGGTAAATACGAGTAATAGACAACAATCGGATGTTTTTCAAACCTTGGGAACAAGGTTCTAAACATTAATTCCAGGGGGCAGATAAGACATATTACAAGTAACAAAACTTTTATAACTTTCGATAAAATGCGTGGATGTTTTATTGTCATTTTCATTTGTTAGAACTTTTTTAAGCCATGTTTTTATGTGTTTTCGATATTTCAATAATTTTTTAATATAATCTTAAAATATGTCGAATATTATAAACTTAAAAAAAGTTACTAAGTTTTATATTGTGTACCGTTCCTAATATTTCTAATCATTTTAATTCATACTTTAAGCTTTATAAAGTTATAATTTGTTAATATTAATATTTGCGCGGATTTCAGGTTCCTGATCATTCATTTTTTAAAGGTTTATAACTTTAAATTAAATTGTGAAGCGCTGAGTAATCATACGACGTTCAATATTCTTTCTTTCAATATGACTAAATAATCCCAATTATAGCAATCTGATACTCATGTCTCAATGTTTTTTCGCTGAATGTGATGAAAACATTTGAAAAAGGTTCGCTTATTGAAATAAATCTACACCAGTTAGTACTTCGATTTCCAGGTAAAGGGAAAAGGCTCATTATCTGCCATATTGGCAGTGAGGATGGATTTGTTGTTGACGGTCTGTGGTGCTTTGAGTCTAAGAAAACTGGAGATTACCACGAGGAAATGAATGGCGAATCGTTTGAACAGTGGTTTTCAAAAATTTTACCGAACTTAGAGGAAAACGCAGTAATTGTGTTGGATAATGCGCCTTATCATTCTCGAAGAATGGAGAAGGTCCCAACAACGGCTTCAAGGAAAGTTGATGTTCAAAATTGGCTCCGCTCGAAAAATATCAACTTTGAAGAAGCAGTGCTGAAAGTACAATTATTAAGAATTGTCAAGGATCACAAGGCGGAATATCAAAAATAGGTACGCCATTGACGAAATGGCAGCAAGTCAAAATAAAACTGTGCTCCGTTTACCTCCATACCATTGCGAGCTCAATCCCATTGAGCTTATATGGGCAGAGGTTAAAAATTATATAGCTAAGCACAATACAACTTTAAATTTTGTGACCTCAAAGGACTTTTCAAAGAAGCACTAGAATTAATAACAGCGCAAAAATGGGAAAACTGTATTAAGCACGTGAAAGACAAAGTTGAAAAGAGAATGTGGGAACTGGACAATATTTTAGAGGAACAAGTCGAGCCATTCATTATTGACGTTGGTGCTTCAGGCAGTAGCGATGATGAAAGCTCATCAAGCTCATCTTTCCAATAAAAGATGTCGTTCATCAAATTCGGTAAGTTATAAGTAAGCTACTGTATTTTTTAATTAATTATTGATATTTTTGAACCCATTTTGGCAAAACCTATTCAAGAATCTACTTTCTGACAATGTTCAACCATGCACATTTTTTTACGTTTTGAACGTTTTAATTTGGTTACATATTTACCTAGAAATCAAAAAATATACTAATCAATATTCTAAAAGCAATTTTAAGAGATATACGATTATTTTTAATTTAGGCTAATTTAAACGCCATTTTGAGATTATATTCGACCGTATTTCACCAAACATCAGGCGGCATCCGAAGCTGGAAATCGAAGCAAAAATTTTGAAACCCTTATGTATATTTACATCATTATATATTTCTTACCCTACCCCCACATGATCCTATATCCATCACCAATCGTATACACATCGAATTGTGCTAATTTACTAGAAAGTTACGCAAAGCAGCATCTACTATCTAAAATATGTACTGCGTGACTCTTAATACGTCCCTGCCGAATGTTACAGCGTTCGATGATCACGTGGTCTTGTTTATGTCCGGTCTATCTCTTATCTGAATATACTGTAGAATCCGATAAATTTCCTGGCTGTTTGTTCTTCAAATCTGGAGGACAAGATCCCGTAGCTACGGCTCTCATTATACTGAAAAAACACTTCTGATCCGTACTCAAATCTTGTTCATTTGTTACTTTTGGCCAATTAATAGGTATAACAACATAATTTACTACTGGTAATTTTTTACGTGATCTAGATGTAGGAGGTGACGTTAAGGAACTTCATTAGCGTGCAGTTGGCAAATGAACCATTGGAGTGGTCTATTTACTTCATCTTCCAAAAGACGAAACTTTTGATCTAGTATTCACGGCTGTACCATCACAACCAACAACAATTAAATCTGATAAATTAACAGATCTTTCATTTAGATATTTGACTAAACTAGATTTGATCAATAATGCAGCTCCAGTGTCACAAGTTATATGACTGAAATACTGACTGCTAGGCTCTTTTACAAGGACATAGTTCTTCTTGATTTTCAATCTTCTATGCTATTTTGAACCAACTTTTCTTGTTTTAGTGTTTTGTATTTACGTCCTTCGAAATACAGTCCTATCAATGGTTCTAAATTACAATTATGTTCCATCCTCGTCGAAGTAAATATTTAGAATACATATCATAGTACCCTCGTAGTAGTACCCAACCGCCACCATCTCAAAGCGCGCACGTAGAGAAGGAAAGTGGCACCGCGCCCCTTGCCCCTACCTTTCTCCCCTCTGGCCGCCTATAAACCTCCATTCCTTGTTCTCGTGCCCGACTGTCAAGACGTTAATCGGCGCGCGTCGTTCACGTGCAGTGCAGTGCCGAGGATCCGCTGAACATTTAGAATTAGAAAACAGGACACAAGGTTGGCCGATAGATGTGCATTGTCGAAGGAGATACCGACCGACGGTCGCCTGAAGGCTCCTTTCGTTGCCGACCAAAATTAGAAAGTGGCGTGCAGGCCTCTTTTTCTGAAGGGGCGTCACCATCAGGTAACTGTCTACTAACCGATCTGTTTTGGCGGCAAGTTAAATGAATATTAGTATGGATGCCTCACCGGCGCTGCAAATTGTGCCTAGCATGAAGTTTATGATAACGTTCTGACCCTGTTGCTTGGGATAGCAACCTGGACCTAGCTTGTGACAGCCAATTTCATACCTAGGAGGAACAAAGACGTTTGGGATAACGCTGAAACATTAGATTCGGTTGCTGGGGATAGCAACGTGGACCTGGCTTGGGATAGTCAGCTCCACACCAAGGATGAACGAAGACATTTGGGATAACGTTGTAACACTGGACTCGGTTGCTTGGTATAGCAACATGGACCTAGATTGTGATAGTCCACACCAAGGACGAATGAAGATGTTTGGAAAAATGACTCAATTCAAACTTCGTTGCACAAATAACAACACTGAAAGCGTTTGGGACAACGTAGCAACAATACCTTGTTGGTCAACAATCTTTCCTCATTTGCTTGTGGTAGCAAATTTCATCTGGTTTGCGATAGCCATGGAACAGGGCTGTAAGTTTGCACATGGCAGGCTAGGAAGTTGTTAAGATATATTACATTTTGTTTGAGATAGGATCTAGTTTGTAATAACAATGTAGGAATATAGCATTTTTCATTTATAACAGATAAAAATTGGCTACATCTATGTGAGACTAGAGCGGTGCATTTTGCTTGGGATAGCAAATTCCATCTGGTTATCTGGTTTGTGATAGCAACGTAGCAATATAACATTTTTCATTTATAACAGATAACATTTGGGTACATCTATGTGAGACTAGCGGTACATTTTGCTTGGGATAGCAAATTCCATCTGGTTTGTGATAACCGTGGAGCAAGTGTGTAATTATAAACATGTCAGATTAGAAAACCGCCAATGTATATCTTTTTCTTATCACCAGATGAAAAATAGGCACCTTGTGCGAGGTTATCGTTACAGTTTGCCTCTGATAGCAAATTTCATTTGGTTTGTGATAACCTTGGAATATCTTTGTCATAATGCACATGACAGCTTAGGAAACCACTAAAGTACCATTTTTCGTTAATAACAGATAGAGATTAGGTTTTATCT